TTCCCAAACTTACATCCCATTAGACTTATTCCTATCATAATAAGCAAGGTTTTTGAGTCTTTTAATTAACAAACACTTAATCTCTCATCTTGAATCTAATAACTTACTTTCTGATCATTGATATGGATTTCGATCTTCTTGTTCTACAGCTGATTGGCTAACAGTAATAACCAATAGATTTTATTGTGCATGATAGAGTTGGAAAGGTTAAGGCTATTGCTCTTGACATTTCTAACACTTTTGATAAGGTTTGGCATGCTGGTCTTCTCCATAAGCTGTCTTCTTAGAGTCACATCAGGTCCCATCTTTAGGATTATTGAATCCCTTCTTATGAATTGTAGTATAAAAGTTGTCCTCAATGGACAGTACTATACTTCATATCCTGTATTTTTAGGGGTTCCTCAAGGTTCTATCCTTGGCCCTATAGCTTTTAAAATTTACATTAACAATCTCCCAGAAATTCTGACATCTAAGGTGGCATTGTTCACTGATACTACTATTTACTCTTGTCTTGATAAGAAGCCAACACTCTCTGACTGCTTGGAGGGGGTATTTATACTTTAAAAGGATCTTACTTCTGCTACAGCATGGGGCTTTCAGTGGCTGGTGAACTTTAACTCAGATAAAACTCAATTTTTTTCAGCTAATCATTATCGCAACAATCTAGATCTTCCTATATTTATAAACACTAGTGTGCTTGATGATTTATCTACCATTCATCTTCTATGATTAACTCTTACTTCCGATCTATCTTGGAAACCATATATCCAATTGATTGCAAAATTAGTATCTGCTAAAGTTGCATCTCTTTATCATGCCCGCCACTTTCTTACTTAGGATTTTATTCTTTATCTTTATAAATCTTAAATCCGTCCTTGTATAGAATACTGTTTCCATATCTGGAGCAGATCTCCAGTCCATGTTATGTTATGTGGAATTTGTACTTTTGACGAGATTTTAATCTTAAAAAGGTACATGAGATACGAGTGTCTATTTTTCCATAATTATAAAAATAATGTAGTTTAAATTAATAAAAAAAAATATTAGTTTTTATTAAGTATGAATGAATTAACTAATCAAATAATTTTAAAAGGTTTCTTGATAATGAAAACTTCTGATGATGTAAGATTCTGAAAACCATTCTAGCTGATGGCGCATTCAATATAAAACACACATTCCTTCTTAAAGTGAGTTTATTTGGGCCATCTTACAAACTCAACATTGGTGAATAGATTTGTCGATATTTTAATTTCATTTCTAAGTTACTATGAATGCTGTCACATTTGCGTATGTCCCTTTCCCAAAAACTTTTGGGTAATTGTTAACTCAATTTCATGTTTTGCAACGAGTAATGCATTAGCCGTTATAGCATTTCTATTTTGTGGTGTACAGTCATCGATGTAGAGGATGAAATGCTTAACTACATTCAAATTTATCTCAGTTGGAATAATGTTTCATAATAGATGCAAATTCATCTGCATTTACTCCACTTTTACTCTCATCTCTTACTATATCCTTTCTCAAATAGTAGTGCCCTTCATTGTTATTCAGATTATACATATTCAAATTATAAACTTAAAGTTTTCCTTTAAGTATAAAAATAAAGCTTTTAAAAAAGGGCACAACAGAACCATCTGAACATTGATTGTCAAAACAGCTACATCTTTGCTATTTCCTCTTTGTTCTTGCTTTTTTCATCTCTTACTACATCTTTTCTCGAAATATATTGGGCCTTGTTCATCAAGGTTCGTGTTTTCGGAGTTATAAAGTTGAGAGAGGGTTGTAACCATAACTAAAAGTAGCCTCCTCGACTGCAATGGCCTTCATGGCCTTTGGGAGGTGAATTGATATATATAAAAAAAAAAAAAATGTTGTGCATCTTATTGTTAGTCAAAATTATTATTTCACTCATTACTCTGTTCTTTTTTAATCATTCTAACAGGAAACACTTGCCAACATAAGTTTTTAATTGTGTGAGTTCTATTTTTAGTGCAGCTAAAAATGGGTATTTTTTCTACGGATACTCATAATGCCTTTTATCATATTTAATTCAAATTGAAATAGTTAAATTTTGCTCTTGTTAAGATGACATGCGTCAATTCTAAAATTAGTACCAATAAAAACCAATACCATTTTTCATACTGGTTTTTTGTAAAAATTTCAATGATTCAATAAGCTTATTTTATATCAAAATTACTGACTTTTTCATTTTTTGCTTTTTTTTTCCTTTGTAAAATGAGACAGGACGTTCAAAGTATCATCCTCCAAAGAAGATTGTGATTTTGTGACATGTTGCTAAAAATCCACACTCGGACTCGACACTTGCTGGCTTCACAGTTTTCAAGTATTCAAAAGAATTTTCCAAATATATGCCACGATATCCTTCTTCTTCGAAAACTGCCATCTCATTACATATAATTTTTTATAAATTATTTGAAACATTTAATTTTACCTTGTTGTTACATTTCTTATTTTTCAAAATTGCTTAGTCAAGCTTTTCTTTCGATAACAAATTTACAGCGTTGTCAACAGAATCGCTATCAGAAAAAACGCTGGTAGAAGGGAGAGGATTATACGCTTTCTGATTGAGCCAATAATTCAGTTGAGCAATGGTATTTACAATGGCTGATTTGCTAAGGTGCTCAAAAGATAGAGCTTGATCCAAATTCTCGTATTATTGGTGGCCCTTGTGCAGATATTGTGGTAAGCTGTAAAAAGATGTATGTCACTTATTAAGTTGTTGCACCAACATAGCTTTCAACTTTACAGCTAAATTGGTTCCTCAAAGGTTATCTATCATAAATATTAGTTTATATCGATTAACAACAGTGTTGCATTATTTCAGCACAATGCCTCCACAGCCAATTTTACTGGTGCAAAACATGGAATAACAGTTAAAACTGCATCAAACTCCTTATTAATTACCATAACTTTAAACTCTAAGTCAATCAGTGACTTGCAAATGCAATTTTGTTTTGAAATCAAATATTAGCAGAAGGCCATCACCAAATTTGTCTAATGTGTGTTTTTGAAGAGTTTGATCATTATTTGTTGGAAAACGGCAAAACAATTTCACAACGGTGTGCACCTTATTGATTAACGACTGCAAATCATCAGTCAGTTCAATAGAGTCATTCTTTTTACTCATTACAACTTGAAACCTACAACAAAAGTTTTCATTATCTCTGGTTTTGTTTGTCATTGTCAGTATTTCTATCCTCATCACTTTAACTGCTATTATTGTAATTCCATATTACTTACAAGTTTTTTTTTGCAGAAGTTGACGGTTTTTGTACAAATTGTCTTGTTGAATGCCATGTTGAATGCCATGCATAATGCGCAACTGTTGATCACAACTACTTAAATGTCCCACATTCTGCATTATGGAAGCTCCATCAGTAGTAATACATACAATGTGTTCATTGTAGCTCAGTATAAACTGCATCAAAACTTTTTGAACTAAATCAATGCATTGAACCAACAACTCTAGTTAATCCAAGGCTCCAAAATTTGTCCTCATTGTGAACATTTACATTTAAATACCTGCGATTTTAAGATTTTCTTTATCACGCAGAAAATAAAACCACAAAAACTTTTGTCAACTTGTACGCTGGTGCTGAACTCTTTGAATACTTTTTGGAACACTTTATGTTTTCTAGATATTTATGTAATTCCATCTATTAGACATAAAATATTGATTATTAGTTTTTAATTCAAAATGCATAAAGTTTTTTTAGTAATTCTATAATTTTACATGGTATACCATTGGCAAGTTACACCATGAACAACATCTTATAATCTATTATCTTACAAAATTAAAAGTATTCTCAAGTTTTAATTTTCTTTTAGCAACTTTTTATTAACATTGCCTTTGCATTAGCGATTTATATTGTGTTTCCGCTTCAATGCATGCTTGGTTAAAATTGTAAACATAATTATTATAAAATAGTTATTTTAAATCAAACAAGTTTTATTTTTGACAAAATAGTTTTAGCAAAATTTTTTTAATGAAAAATTAATTAAACAAAAAAGCATTGTTTATCGCAACTGGAAGTTTTAAATATTTTATTTACTTATGTGTTTCATGTAAAGAAAGCAACTGCTTCTGTTATATCACAAGCCCTTTACATATATTTTTAAGACCGGTATTGAGCCAAACCAATTCTGGTATTTCAGTACTTGAAAAAGTCTGGTAATACCGGTATTCCGGTATCAGTACTACCAGTATTGGAAGCATTAGCTATAATATAATATTGTTCTACAAAAACATTAGAATAGATTTATCTTTAGTAATGGATCCATAAATTAATCCAAACCCAACTTTCTTGCTGCATAAATTGCAATTAAAATGTTATTTTGTCAACGTTCACAATGGCTACTTCTTCCAAGGTCATCTAGAATGATTACTCTGAGATATATAATTGAGGTTACCTGGTCAATTGCAGTATTTAAAAATATTTTCTAATTAATTTATATTTTCTTTTTTATTTCTTTTTGCTTCTGTACCAAACTTTATAAATTGTGTTTTTTTGGGATTAAATTGAATTCAGCAATTTTAAGCAATAGATTTAATTCTTTAACATTGGAGGCAGCACATTTAAATACTCTTTTAAGTGTTAATACAAACCCCTTGATTTTAAAAATTGTTTTTATTGTGGCTAATAATATTTTATAGGCAAGATATTTTCATACAACCAAAGTATAAAAGTAAGGTATGCATCTCTTTCTATTTCTATTAATTTAAAAAAATACCTGGTTAAAAAAAAAAACAATAGAAAATGTCTTTCTTATTTTTATAAGTATAAGTGGATTACTTCCAGCTTTATCAACATTGTTACATCTCAAGTTATAATGAAAAAATGGTTAGATGAGGCATATAGACCTACCATTATCTGTTTTCCAGGTTATTTATTGACGGTGTAATACCAATAATATTTTAAATTTCTTAAACAAATTTTTTGAAGTGTTGAAATAAAAAAAAACACAAAAAAACAACTAACTTTTCTTCTAATTCATCTTTTGCACGTATTTGTTGATGCTGTCTTTTCAGTAATTCATATGTACAATTTACAAGTTGAAAAAGATCAAGATTTTCCCTTATATTATTTTTGTTTGTTGAGTTGTTATTCTTGAATATAGATGAATAGCCAAAGAGTGTTAATTCCTAAATAAAAGATTTGAAAATAAAATTAGCATATGGCAAAATTAAAATTTATTTAATACTAGTTTAAAGGCTTTAAAACTAGTATTAAATAAATATTAAATATATATATATATTAAATATATATATATATATATATTAAATATATATATATATATATTAAATATATATATATATATTAAATATATATATATATATTAAATATATATATATATATATATACATACATATATATATATATATATATATATATATATATATATATATATATATATATATATATATACATACATATATATATATATATATATATATATATATATATATATATATATATATATATATATATATATATATATATATATATATTAAATATATATATATATATATATATATATATATATATATATACATATATATATATATATATATATATATATATATATATATATATATATATATATATATATATATATATATATATATATATATATATATATATATATATATATATATATATATATATATATATATATATAATATATATATATATATATATATATATATATATATATAAGGGTGCATCAAAAAACAACAATTTTTTAAAATTGCCTTGTCTGTGCTCTAAACATATGCGATAAAATAAAATATCACTAGATAAACAAAAAATTTTGAAAAAAAAATATTTTTAGAGGTGCCCTGAGTCCTTCGAACATTTATACGGCCCCTAAAATTCTGGGAAAAAAAATTCTTCACAAGTAGGTCAACCTGGTACTCAAAAGAAGTGAAATTTTATAAAAAGTTCAAAAATAATATTTGTTTTATGTAAAAATTATTATTTTAAATTTTAATGCATAATAATTATGGTTTTTAACTAAATTTTTATTTTTAGTTAAAAAACAATATATATATCAGGGCAAACTAGCCCTGTGAGCAGGGTTGGCATTAAAAAACCCGCCCAATAAAACCCGCCCAATAAAACCCAATAAAACCCAATAAAACCCGCCTAAAAAAACCCAATAAAACCCAGGCAATCTGGGTTTTTTTGAAATATATCTAAAAACTTATGAACTATTATATTAATAATATATACTATTATTAACCAACATTTCTGAAAACATAAACATATTATAGAGCTAGCTATAAAGGGAAATTTTCAATTTAAACACAACATTTTTATTTAACACAATTTTATTTTGGAAACCAAACAAATTAGATTCATTCAATAAGATTTTTTAGAATAGATACACATTGACAAGACTATTTACATTTTTGGTATACTTCTTGCAAATACAACTTTACTTTAATGTAATATTCATTTTATATTGTAAAAGCATAAACTCTTATGTAAAAACATAAACTATAAACTATTTTTGATACTGTTTATATATTTGCACAAGCTTTTTAGCCTTTTCACATCCTAATTTATTTCTAACTTTTGACCAAATAAAACCAAATGAAGAAAATATTCTTTCTATTGATCCTGAGCTAGCAGGGCACGTTTGAAGTTTAGAAATAAATTTGCAAAATCCTTCAGGCAATTTTTTCTGAATTGATTTTTCATTTCTCTGGTTAATGATAGACCACCAATCACTGCACAATATTGTTGATATAATTTGATTACTCAACATCCTTTTAGGAAATGCATCACAATCCTTTAATTTAAGCAAAATCAACCCAGGTACAAAATCAGGATAATGATTGTAAAGCCATTCTTCAGCCTCATCTTCATTTTCAATCGGCAGGTTTTTGCCTATAAAAAAAAAATTCAGATTATCATATAGGTGTGAAAACAATTTTTTTTTTAAGCAAAACTTATTTTTACCCAAAAAGCGAGGATTGGTCATGTATGCAAGATAATGGATAGGTGTCAAAGCATCATTACATCTCTTTTTGATAGCTGTGTGGTAATGACTTAGTTCAGGGTTATTCAGAAGTAAGAGCCACAACTCAACACATTCGGATAGGTGACAGCTGTCACTTTGCATCTAGAAAAAATTTAATTTTTAATTTATTTAATTAACATAATATATTTATTTTTATTACTTTTCCTTTACACCTACAAAATCTTATTATGTAAAAAAACTTTAATATAAAAAAATTAAATACTTGATCTAAAACAACACCAAATATTTTGAGTTGGGTTTGAAGACTGTTAGCTTCTCTAAATATTGCTCGATTTTCAATAATTTTTCTGATTTTGATAGGTATATCATGATTATCTACTATTTCTACATAAATTTGGTAGTTTTTTATGTATGTTTCTATACAGTCAATTTGGGAGTTCCATCGGGTATCGTTTGGTAACTGAGGCATATGCCCTCCTTTCTCACGCAACCATCCCTTAAAATAAAAATTGAATAGTTAATTTTAAACTTTTATATATTTTTTATACTCTAAGTTTAACCCACAAATACAAAATAATGTTTACATGCGGTTGATGTGTATTACGAAAATATTTCTGCACTTCAACCACATGTTTGATGACATCTGGGTGTGTTACTTCTTTTTCTAAAAGGTTTAAATAATGTGCAGAACACCCATATGTTAAAAGATTTGGATACGTTTCTTTGATTGAATCCCTCATTTTTTTCATCTTATTTTCATTATCTGTTACCACAGCAAATACTTCTTTATTGTATGTTTCTTTAAGATCTTTAATGACATTACAAAGAAGTTCGGTACAATACTTGGCTGTTTTTTTATTTGATGCACAATCAGTAATGCATAAAATTTTAGAATTAAGTCCGTCATATGCACTGTGAGCAATAATGGGATCATTAGTAACACTACTCCATCCGTCTTGCATAATTGTTATTGTTTTCTCTTCTTGGGTAAGTTGATCCATCATTTTTTTGTTTACTTCCTCATAAACTTTTTCTAAGAGCTCTCCTCCTAGCATTTTACGGTTAGGTGGTTTGTATCCTGGTCTCAATGAACTGATCATGTCTATAAATTCTTGATTTTCAGAAGTTTTAAATGATACATTTGCACTGAAGAAAAATTTTGCTATCTTTATATCAATATTTTCTTTCTGTTCCAGATTAGTTGATATTGTGTACGATGACATCAACCGCTGCTTCTTACAAGGTGTTAACGAACTTATAGAACTTACAGATGCCAAAGAACTTTTTCCAACTTGAGCTGATGGTCCAGCTATTAGAGATGATGGTCCATCTATTAGAGCAGATGCACTAATATTTAAATCATTATTTGGTACATCATCACAATTTTTATTTAAATATTTTGACAAATTGAGATTTTCTCTTTCTGTATGCTTGTGTAAAAACTTAAACTTTTTTTGGCAATGTTTTAAATGGGGTTTTACTCGTTCTATCTTGTTGCTAATCAAAGCATGACAATAGTCACAAGAAACCTTTGTACTGTTTTCAACTTCAGTCACTTCATCCCATTCTCCAGCTTTCTTTCTTCCACTTCCCATCGGCATTTTTAATTATAAAAAATATTATTATTAAATCTAAAATAAATCAATGCATATAGGTTTATCATGATTAAAAAAAACTTATTGAAAATAATTTGAGGTGTATAAATTTTAAAAACTTATAAAATATATTCTAAATAAACTTAAATAATTAAAAATAAACTTAAATAAGTTAAAAATGATATTAGTTTTCAATATTATTAAACAAACAAAAAAAATTTTTTAACAAAATTATAAAAAATAAAAACCCAAAAAAACCCAATAATACCCAATAATACCCAAAAAAACCCAAAAAAACCCACTGGGCCGGGTTTTTTTAAAAAAACCCGGGTTTTTGCCAACCCTGCCTGTGAGGCCCCGTCAAATGCGGTATTCCCAAACGCTCATAAAATTTGAAATTCCCAATTTAAAGGTGAAAAAGTCCCATTCTTCAAATATAGTTTGCCAAATTAAAGTTTAATAATAATTTTTGTTTGGTATTTTATACTAAACAAAAAGGAGATTGTATTGACTATTATCTTTTTTTACTTATCTACTATCATTTTTTTTGGTGTAATTTCTGGACTGACTTTTTTAAAAGACCACCTTTGAATTATAAGTTGAATACAAAAAATATTTTATGATTATAACAAACTGGTACTAGAAATTTATTTAATGAGGAAAATAGATTTCTTTACTTTACTGCTTGCTTTTTTTTAAAATGCAAATTTTATGTTTAATAACAAGAATGTTTTTTTTTATTACAACAATAAAATTAAAAATTACTAAAAATTTATAAATCAAGAAAACTAGATTAGACTTTTGCGTTACATATGGCGTTAACATGAATTTAGTTAAAATCTTTTGAAAAAGTGCCTTAATTTACTATAGATACTAGTTCTAATCGGTTCTGACGTATATTAACTATATATAGTTGTCAAAATACAATATTTCTATCAATTTTCACAAAAAATACTAGAATTCTGACCAAGAAAAAGCTTATTAATAAGAAAAAGCGCCAATAAACAATCAGAACAGATCACATTATTAAACTATGATGTTCATTTTACCTGAAAAACATGTTTATTTAAAATCTTTAGTAAATACGCAAAATTTATCAATTTAATTTTTTTCATCTTTTCATAATTCACAGACATGATCATTTTTAGGGAAATATGTCGTAGTCAACAAAATATCATACAGACGCTATAATATTTTAAAATTGCCTTAACTACACCGAGTAGTCATAACTTTTAATGACTATGAATGAAAAAATAATTATTGGTATTCTTTGTTGCCAAGATAGCATGCAATGGCTTGCGATCAATATTCTTTTGTAATTATTTATTTTTGTTTTTGCTCAGACTTTGTATTTGTAATTTTATTTCGCTATACAATTTATGTATATTTATAATTATTATTAATTATAAAATTGAACTTGCAATAAATGTGAAATATGAAATTTACAAGCTGGTGTTTACTATTTTCAAAACTCTTTATTAAAACTTTTTTTATTTTTCTATTTTTAAAACATTTCTTTTGATGAAACAATTCATTACATGATAGAGTAAGAGTTTGTCCA